TCTGGGCTGTTGCCCCGCGCAAATCTGGTAGAATTTTACCGACGAATCAGAGATATTTGCCCTGTCGATGAAGGCAGGGAGCACCTCTGAAACGTCGGTAAACTTCTACCAGATTTGCACCGGGCAACAGCCATTATCCTGTTTATGATGGGCTAAGTTTGTAGAACGCAATGGCGCGAGATGGCATTAGTGGGAAGTTCCGAGGCAGATCTTAATCTTAATTCTTTACATCAGTACATAAAGTGAGCACATAATGGGGGAGTTACATCTAGTCTCATTACATTACTCCAGGACGCCTCTAAACAAAAGCTGTCTTAAGAAATCAGGACTAACTCATTCGGAATGTCTGTGCGTTCAAAACTGGGGTTTCATCTTTTCCCGCTCATTCTCCTGGACAGTGGAGTTGAGATAAATTTAAAATACTTTCCTATCAGCATTTAATTCCTTTGTTATTAGTTATAAGTTCCGTAACATTTGAAATTAGGGTCACGCTTTTGCGTTCTTTGGGACTGATGCATGGCGTTTTTTACGTGAGGGAACTTGTCAAACGCCTTCAGAGACTCCATAATAGGAAATGCTATTTAAAAGTTGTTTGTGCTACGCATAGACCTTATTTTCTTAGCCACAAACTTAGTAACCTTCAGTACGATCCATATCTACTTTATAGTTTATAATATTTCCATAAGTACAATCTGTACTAAAGCACGCCTTTATCTGGCGTTGTGTTAGGAATATATCTCCGCTATTCACAGCTGTGAGCTTCAGATGATTCGTTCATATTTCTTGTAATTAACAATAATTTCTAGCAAATAAGTTTGTAACATCTGTGACAGATTTTCTGAAAAAAAAATTGTTCTTAAAGCAATAAGTAACATCTTAATTGTGTGTGTGTGTGTGGTTGAATAACCTGAAAGAATTTGCAGATAAAGAACCTGATTTTAACCGCCTTAGCTATTTTAGATTTAAAGAGATAGCTCTGTTTGAATTAATTCCTTTGGCACAATCATCTTATGGTATTATCTTCTACCTCATGATTTACGAAATGGTTTTGTAATTCATACGTGGGGTTCTGGAATGAAAAGCTGTCAGGACTTGTAGGAGGTTACCAATGTTTTTAAGGAATATATCACCTTCTTCAGTTTGACACAATCATCTTATGGTATTATATTCTACCTCATGTGCCAATGTTCGATTTACGAAATGGTTTTGTAATTGATACGTGGGGTTCTGGGCTGAAACGCTGTCTGGACTTGTAGGAGGTTACCAATGTTTCTAAGGAATATATCACCTTCTTCAGTTTGTAGATGAATATTTTCACTCCTACCATGAAGATAGAAGCTGTACGTTCCTCTGAGACTCTGGTAACCACGTACAAGACTGTACGGCGTCATAATCCCGAAGGACATATTCTGAATTGCTGCTATCATGAAAATCCAATAACATAATATTTATGTCGTTCATGATATGAATTTTTAAATCTGATTTCATGCGCTTCTCAAATGAAAATAATTGAAATAGACAGTGTCGAGAATAAAACGTATTTCTCATAGATCTCTTTCATCGAGTTACCAGAACTTTAGGCATTATAGGAGGAAACATAGAATTGAAATAAAATGTATTCTTATCCTAAACACGAAATCAAATTAGCGCTTGTAAAACTGTATGAGTGGTGTCAGATGTCGATAAAGTTGGCCATCACTGGCGCAGGACTTGTAGTTCAATTGAAGGTGTTTGTGCAGGTGATCGTCTCCTGTCTGATGGCTCTGGCCGCCGCAAACCCCAGCATCCTGGGTGCCTTGCCCTATGCAGCCGCCCCTGTAGCCATCGGTGCCCCTGTGGGCATCGCCACCTCTG